CCCAAATGTTTAAATTGAATGAATATAAATGTTAAACTTGTCCGTGCACCGCCCATCTTCCCATCATCACTATTTTCCAAGGTAAACCCCGGTACCGTCATGTCTACCCGCGTATAGCAAAAACAACTACACGTTCAGCAAAAGCTGAAGAGTGAATCTAACAGCAGAACATAAAGTGATCACCCATATGGTCATACATATATTAATACATGTACTTAACGTACGAAAAACTACGTGTTTACTAACTGATTAGTTTGCACCTGCTAGGGTACTATTACATATAATAAAATGATGTATTACCACATTGAATATGGATATGATGGGGAATAATCGGACTAATTAGATCAAATCGGACAAAAACAGATCTAATCAGAATAAATCAAAGTCAAATCCAATAAGATCAGATCAAATCTTCAAAAATATCGAATCAAATCAAATTCAAATCTAGTAACATCAAATCAAATTTTAAAAGAAATCAATTTAATTGTATAGGTCGTGTTATATTTGTCTGATCTAATCCTTAAATGCATCATATCATATCGAATCTAATTAGATTGAATCAGACAAAAAAAGATCTAATCAAATCAAGTAAAATTAAAATCTATTAAGATCACATCAAATCTCCAGAAAAACAATTTAATTATCTTGGTCGTGTCTTGTTTGCATGATCTAATCTATAAACGCATTACATCACATCAAATTAGATCGAATTCAGACTAATACAAATTTAATCAGATCAAATCAAATTCAAATCCAATAAGATCAGAATTAATCTTCAAAAAAATCAATTTACTTGCCAAGGTTGTGTCTTATTTTCCAGATATAATCTTTAAACGCATTAGATCGGATCTAATTAGATCGAATCAGACTAAAACAGACCTAATCGGATCAAACAAACTCTAGGGCACCATATTTTTAAATTTGTTAATAATTTTAAAGCAAAAGTATTTTAAAAATATAAAATAGAGCATAAAATGTAAATTTTGGACCGGGCCAATTTTATTTTTTCATTTTTCGGGACCGACCCGACCTAATTGAAGGTGGTTCATAAAAATGAGATATTTATGGACCAAAAAACTTTTTTGTTTCAAAAATCAAATTAGGTACCATATCATTATTATTAAAATGGTTCGATACGGTTTCAGTTTTATATCAAATCCTTTGGTGCCATGTCATTCAGAAACGAGATGGTACCATGACATACTAATGCCAAACCATACCACGTACAATACTTTGATGCTTTGAAAATATTTTTATTTCTAAACAACAATCAGCGTAATCAAAAGAAATTGGAGCACTGTTTTTATGCATTTTTACTCAATATGTGTATTACTTAGTTAGAATTTTTTGAAAGGAACATAATTATTGGAGTTTGAGTTTCAACAAAAGAAATTATAATTTGAGTTATTGTAGTCTTAGGTTATAAAGTCCTATAAAAAATTACCTTAAGTATGTCAAATTCACACCAAATAAATACCCTATGATTTAAATTTACCAAAAGATAACACATAAAAATGTATAATTAATTTAATAATTTAAATATTTAACATTTTTGTGCTAGTGGATGGTTTAGTTCGGTATTTTCGTTTGAGAACCTGCCCTATACCATTTTTAAAACAATTCATTTTATTTTGGGATATAGTTTACTAGAGTTATTTGAAAACTTGCTTTTTAATTTGGTACAATGTCCATCTACTTTGGAACAATATAAGGCTTACTCCCTCCGTTATACAAAACACTTCCTTTTTCATTTTTTTCTTTTTCACCGAAACACTTCCACTTTTTATTAAAAAATCACTTTTATCCATACTTTTTCTTAACATGCCTATCACATCAAACTTCTTCTCTAACAATATATCCATCACATCTTGCTTTAACTCATCACATCAATGGCAAAATTAGAAGTCAACTACAATTTAACACTTCCTTATTTTAACACTTGATCAAAATTGAAGTTGCTTCAAGAAGGGAGGGAGTATATTTTTGCTATGCATGCGATCATTTATTTATTAGTGGGTCCATCTTTCCCATATATCCAATAGAGTGGAGTCCTTGTCAATGAGTGCCGGCCTAGCTAGTGTCTCTCATCTTCATCATCATATTCACTTGTAATATAATGGCTGGGGTAGGGCTCTTCCTAGCTATAACTTTGTTAAGGGGGAGGCAACTCTCAAATATGTGTATGGTATTCCAGGAGAACCATGAATATAAGGTTCACCCTTTTTTTAAGAAGGAATGTAACAATTAACTTGGTACGGATCAGGGGCAAACCCAGAACATCACATTTTAGAAAGTTTATATTAAACCATCACAAACTTAACACTAAATAAAAAATACTTCGTAATATACATGGGCGGATCTAGGTACATGTTAATGGGGGCAATTGCCCCCAATGAATTTCAAAATTGTCCATAGTAGTACCCTAATTTTAAAAAAAAAAAATAGTTATGCCCCCATTGAAAAATATAAAATACACATAATAAAAATAAATTTAAGTAGAAAATTAAATATCTACCATTAAAAATAAAATACTTAAAATTTAATTGAGTCAAAATTATAAAATTATGTAGAGCAAATAAATTTCTAGGAAATATTTTTAGATTTTTCATTAATTATTGAATGCGTTATTAAGTCAAAATAATGTTTTTTTTGTAATTTCACATGGCTATTTTGAAGAAAAAACAGAAGCGCTATCCCCGAACCCCGTAGTGGTCTCGCCCCTAGTCCTCAAGATTCCTGGATCCGCCACTGGTAATAAATAACATTAAAGTTTACATAAAAATACTTCGTAATATAACATATAAATATCACAAATTAATAGTAGTGTTTCATTGCAAATATAAAGTACATCTTACTGTTGATAAGGTCCAATTTTCATATTTTGGAAGTGATTTATTATTTCATCATCGCTAATAGTAATATATATATATATATATATATATATATATATATATATATATATATATATATATGCGCGCACACGCACACACTATCAATTGCGACGCGTTGCGGGGATTTAAGTGTGCGATCAAGAGTTTATGCAAGATTTTTTTTGTTTATGATATGTTTTGTATGATTTTCTTTTTTCTTTAATGTTTCATGAAAAAGGAAGTTTAACTGACAAGTTTGCAAGATTAAATATCAGTGAAGTTGTGAATAAGGTACATCATACTCATGGAGATCATTTAGAACATCCGGATAATCTTGAACTCCATGGTTATTGCAATTGAGATTGTTGAATATAAGTGAGCTCTAGAGGCCAACTTATGATTCCATATCTATATTATATCAAGAATCATAGGCCCTAAAGATTGTTTAAGTCGTCTCGTGTGATTTAAACATGCATAGCTTTAGTCCATAAAGTAGGCACTCTAATAACATTGTAACACCCCAACCCGCAACCCGAACCAACGAGTTAGCGAACCGAGTTGCTACTAAATTAGCATTCAAACACAATAATTTTCCAAACAATTTAAAACATTTATTTCAAAATAATATTTAAACATCCTTCAGAGTATTATAAAACGGCGCGGAAGCTTAAAATACTTAATTCAAATTACAACTTTGGGTTCTTGCCCTCAAAATATAATAATTCAAACTTAAATATTAAATCAGATAACTGCTTCAGCCAGCATCCATCCACCTCCCTGCCCTCCAAGATAGTTCCTTATTCATCATTCATGTTACCTACGTGTAGCAAATTGGACAAAAGGCTACACGCTCAGCATTGAAGCTAAGTGAGAAATATCTAACGTTCTGACTACGCACATACACGAACCCACTAGCTTATAATTTCATACAATATCATGCACACAAATACAACAGTAATAATATCACAAGTACAACATAGTTTATGCTACTTACCTTTATCCTTCACTTGCACATGTTAATATCACAATATTGAAGTCATTACATTAGCTCATATCCAACATTAGCTCATAACCAATCTAGGCTAAAGCCAATTCCTCATTATCCACATTCTTATCTTAGGACTTAGAGCCACTACCTACGGCCATGACTCAAAGTCCATTCTATGACATCAGAATCACTACCCACGACCATGATTCTGGTCAACCCGGTACCTACGGTGCCGGTTGGGTGGAACCTTCAATCCTATTGATCAGATCCCAGATTCCATGTACGTACATCTTTACCCGAATGCCACTGGACACTAGGTCCACAACGCTCAACAAACTCAGTATGCTTTATCCGTTTAAGACATAACACATTGGATCCACAATAACTTAAGAGAATAGAAATAGCTAAATAAATCATCATGCAATCCAAATAGCGGCCTAATGTCGGGTGTAAACACCTTCCACTTACCGTCATGCAACACGCAAAGTTTCAGTCAATTCGGGTTCCAAATCGGGTCAAACAATCAAATAACGGAAACTGCAGCTGTTGGTGCGGTACCCGTCACGGTACCTCGGTACTGCCAAGCGGTACCTGGCCTGGGTACCGTCGGTACGGTACCGTTCGACCGTCTCACATATGTACCGGCAGCAGTAGCGAACCAGAGGCGGTAGCTGGGTACCGTTTGGATGGTACTAGGCTACCGTCCGGCATCGAAAGTGTATAGATACTTGCATAGGGGCACACCAAATGTTGCACCATATTTGTACACCATAAATTTTCACTATTCATTCTTTATCCACTCATTAAATTAATTCCTCCGTCCTAGAACATTCTTCGTAGTTATTATTCACACGGTTAAACTTTAATCACTTTCTTTACCTACTTTCGATAGTTATTTGATAAAATAATATAATCTTGTCACCTCTTATTTTGTAGAACTTTTGATGTAGTCTTTAAATATGTAACTTTTATTTTTAAATTTTAGACCCACAATCAAATAAATTGAATTGAAAATAAAGTTGGTCAAACCTCGTAAACAGAAACGGAAAGAAGGGGTTTAGGACGGATGAGGTTTTTTTTACTCATGTACAATGTCACATTATCACAATATGAACTCTTATTTAAGGATTAAAAATACGAAACTTCTTTTTCAATACTTTCTCTATGTTTTACTCCTATTTAGAGAGATTTCTTTATCAAAATTATAAAAACAAATTTAGAATAGAGTAATTTACCTAAATAGAACTAAAACATAATGACTTTTTCAATATAAGATCATTTGTTTTTATTTCCCAATGTAGGACCATTGATCATTATCTATTAGTCATTATTCAACTAAATGTCCAGCATCATTTGAACATTATTCTTTTCACTAGTCATTATTAAGTCCTATTTAGGAAATAAAAAAATTTAAATTCTACATTAAAAAATGACTTATATTTTAATCCTATTCAGTGCAAATTCACTTTAAAATAATTGGAGAAATGTAAGATCTATAGAATAGGGTCGTGACTCGTGAGATGTAAATCGCAACAGTATTGCTATGCGCACGGAAACGGCTGAGGCCGTCATAAATAACGCTGTTGACAAATTCGAATACGGATAGGGCGATAACTAGCCGTTACTTACCTTCTACATCTCAAAAAACAAATACACCGAAATCCATTCACGTGTCCTCTCAATCTCCATCTCCCTCCCAGCGTGGAATCTCCTGAAATTAGCAAAAATAAAAACAATTTTTCACTTGATCTGGGTTTCTCACTTCTGCGTTAATCTTCCTGTTCCAAGAACCCAATTTCAATTTGTTCATACTCCGTAATCTGCAAGAGCTCTTCCTTCTCGGGTAAATTCTTCATTTCTTCTTGGCTATCTCTCCTGTATAGACTGCGTACTGTTCGTTAATCTGGATTTCCGTACCACATTGTATTGTTCAGTCCATACAAAATCTTGATATTGTCCGAAACTTCAATGTTTCCAAGATTGGTCTTTTCAGTATGGGCTTCATGATTTCTTGATGATAATGTGAGCGTATAGCATTTTGCATTTGGCCTTTGGGTGTGGTAACGTAAAGTGTCCTGTCGTTTGACTGAATATGTTTGATTTGAAGCCATCATTTTCACTTAGAAATGTCTGATAGTGTTCTTCTGTGTCAAATATATGTGTGGTGTCTATATGAGATTTCCCTATTTTCTTTGGGTGAAATGTGTTGGTTGAGTAATCGTCAGTGATTTCTCTATTTTATTTGGGCATCCCATTTTCTTGTTGCAAAGTGTGTTTGCAGAATGCTATAGTTATTAGAAGATGAAAATAGGAACACCAAGGACACCCTTGTCAAAGATTGGAAAGAGGACCCCTTTAAGGGCTGCCATCAGTAAGACTCCTCCATGTACTACTACTCCAGGTGAATCAAAGGTTGGTGAGGAGAAGATTCTTGTCACTGTTCGTGTGAGGCCGCTGAGCTCAAAGGAACAAGCGGTTTATGATCTTGTTGCCTGGGATTTCCCCAATGACCACACTATTGTTTCAAAGAACTTGAGCCATGAGCGCCATTCGGGCTCATACTCCTTTGGTACACATATAACTCATTCTAACAATTGATATCCATCTTATATTCAGGGATTATCATTGTGCATTTATGTATGGATTGCTTGTGTTTGACAGATTTCGTCTTTGGCCCAATCTGCTCGACTCGAAAGGTGTATGAAGAAGGGGCTAGAGATGTTGCTCTTTCTGCTCTTAGTGGTATCAATGGTAAATATAAGGAGCGTCACTTATATTTCTATTGAATGATTTTCAATATCCTTTTTGTGTTTGAGGTACCTGACACCCCTGATGTTTTGCGTTCTTTAAACAGCAACTATTTTTGCATATGGGCAGACGAGTAGCGGGAAGACATTTACAATGAGAGGAATTACTGAAAATGCTGTTAAGGACATTTATGAGCACATCAAAAACGTAAAAATCATTTAAAACCTATAATGTTTTGCAGTTCATTTGTCTCTCAATGCTTTGGGGGTGCAGAAATGTATTTTTATTGATTCACATGATTTACAGACTACAGATAGGGAATTCGTCTTGAAATTTTCTGCTTTGGAGATCTACAATGAGACCGTAGTAGACCTATTGAACAATGAACTTGGCACGCTTCGGTTATTGGATGATCCTGATGTAAGGATGTGTTTGTTTTTTTAAATAAACTGAGTGAGATTACTTTCCTAATATTGCAATTCATTTTGAATTCATATTATGCGGCTGCAGAAAGGAACTATAGTTGAGAAACTGACCGAAGAGATGGTCGAGGATGGCCAACATCTGAGGCATTTAATTAATATTTGTGAAGGTAGTCCGTGTATCTAAACTCATTATTGTTTTGTAAATAAATAACTTGGGTCTTGAGGAAATGTATGTGTTGCTCTCTATTGCAGCTCAAAGGCAAGTAGGAGAAACTGCTCTAAATGAAAAGAGCTCGAGGTCACATCAGATAATCAGGCTGGTAATTGTTTCTACGATAGCATTGATCATTATGTTTTCTTTGTTTTGAATCCTAAGCTGCAATTGACAATTTGACACTTCATGACTTGTGCATTAATGTATTCTTCCAAGACGATTGAGAGCAGTACTAGAGAAAAAACTGGGCATGTAAAATCCCTCTTAGCAACCCTGGTATGTGTGTGTTTGTATGATATAGCATTTGATAAATTTTCATAATTTAATCATGAATTTGGATATTTCATATGAAATACTGGAATATGCAGAATCTTGTGGATCTCGCGGGAAGTGAGCGTGCAAATGCAGATGGTACTAGGCTGAAGGAAGGAAGCCACATAAACAGAAGCTTGCTTACCTTGACCACTGTAATAAGGAAGCTAAGGTAATAGAATGTTGGGATTTTTGAAATTCATAAACCCAATCTGACTGTCCATTTGGAACTCGGAAAAGATTAGGGGAAAATAGGGAGGAAAATCCAGAAGGAAAGAAAATTTGGGAGAGAATTAAGAGATTACTTCAACAAAATTATTTTACATTTGTCAAGAAAGCATCTTTCCTTCACATTCATAAGGGATTAATGTGGTTTTGTTGGGATTTATTTTGTTATAGTGGAGGAAGGAGGAGTGCACACATCCCTTATAGAGATTCAAAGCTGACAAGGATCTTGCAGGCCTCACTAGGGGGCAACGCTCGAACTGCAATCATATGCACAATGAGTCCGGCTTTAAGCCACGCGGATCAATCACGTAACACTCTCTCATTCGCAACCAGTGCAAAAGAAGTCACTAATAGTGCCCAAGTGAACATGGTATGCACTACTTTATTTGATAGGAGCACGTGTTCATATTCCCATGTGTGGAATGACATCCTTTGTCGTCTAAACTTGTGATGTGGTATTATTTCTTTTCCTTATTACAATGCATAGGTAGTTTCAGAGAAACAATTAGTGAAAAAGTTGCAGAAAGAAGTTGCAAGGCTAGAAGCAGAGCTCCGAACTCCGGATACCACTGCTTCTCCAAGCCTTAGATCTTTACTCATGGAAAAAGAAATGAAAATCCAGCAGGTAAAGCCGAGTACAATTTTTTTTGTACAGAAAATAATAGTCTTTCAAATAAAAACACCATATCCTTGTGCAAGTATATACTTTTTTTAAACAGAAGATATTAGAAATGGATTTTTGTTTGGTTTATTGATAAAAAAATGAAAAGAAAAAGTTGAGTTAGAAATGATGGTATATATATTCTGAGTTGCAGATGGAGGAAGAGATGAATGAACTGAAACGTCAAAGGGACATTGCTCAATCCCAGCTTGAATGTGAAAGAAGAGCAAGAAAAGAGATCAAAGTATGTTATTCAAACCCAAACTTGTGAAATAAATAACACAATTGGTGCATTTTAATATGAAAGTGTTTAGTGATGAGGACGATGATTGCAGGGTTCAGGTGATCACGGGCCTTCTCATCAAGAAGTGGTTAGATGCCTTTCATTTTCCACTGAAAATGAAATTGATCCTAATGGGGCGCCCATCACGATAACACCAGCAGTAAGAAGAAGAAAGTTAGGCTGGAGAAGCACTTCGCTTGTTAGGCAATCAGCCTGTTCTACAGACCCATCAATGCTGGTGAATGAAATCCGAAAGCTTGAAATGAGGCAAAGGCAGCTTGGGGAAGAAGCAACTCATGCACTTGAGTTACTCCACAAAGAGTTCGCTTCTCACAGAATCGGCACCCACGCTGCCACAGAAAGCATTGCGAAATGCCTGTCAGATATAAAGGGCATGCACGCGTTGAATTCAGTTCCTGCAGAGGAAGTTGAAATCAAAGACAAAGCCAGCCTTAAGGAAGAGATTGCGCGGTTGAGATCTCAAGAAAGTAGCATTAAGTCTCTGGAAGTGAGGCTCGAGAATGTCCAAAGATCAATAGACAAATTGGTAGTTATGCACCTTCCAAGTGATGAAACCACAACTCCAGAGCTAAAGACTTCATTCTCATCAAGAAAGAAAAAGGGGCTTCCTTTTGCAGCACTGACCAATACTGCCGCCAACATGCCCAACCTCATACGCTCTCCCTGTTCGCCTATGGATAATGAAATTGAAAACAAAGCACCACCTGAGAGTAACGACTCCTCCTCAAGGGAGGGCACCCCTTCTGGGGCTGCAGCAAAACAATCATCAAACTCAGTCAGCGTTAAGAAAATGCAAAGGATATTTAAGAAAGCAGCTGAGGACAACATTAGGGACATTAAGGCCTATGTCACTGAGCTAAAGGAACGTGTGGCTAAGCTCCAATACCAAAAACAGCTCCTAGTTTGCCAGGTATCAATTTGTTTTAAGAAGAACAAACTCATTCCATTCACAATAAATGCCTTTATAAAGAAAGGACACATTACAAAGTAGTGCTCTCTTAGAATTCGGAGTATGTTTTAGTTTGATTGGTGCTAAATGAAGAGATGTGGTTTTTACATACGTGCGAGCAGGTGCTGGAATTGGAGGCAAATGACGGTGCATCAAATGATGGATCCGAATTTATGACAGACGAACAATCTCTTCCTCTTCCACCAGCAGTATCATGGCACTTGATCTTTGAGGAGCAAAGAAAGCAACTCATAATGCTGTGGCACCTGTGCCACGTGTCGCTGGTCCACCGCACTCAATTCTACCTGCTGTTTGGAGGGGAGGAATCAGATCAGATATACATGGAGGTGGAGCTGAGGAGGCTGACATGGCTGGAGCAGCACCTGGCAGAGCTGGGCAATGCCAGCCCAGCGCTGTTGGGGGATGACCCGGCAAGCTACGTGTCTTCAAGTGTGAGGGCACTGAGGCAGGAGAGGGAGTACCTCGCGAAGAGGGTGAATACGAAACTGAGTGCTGAAGAGAGGGAGAGGCTTTATGTGAAGTGGGACATTCCAGCAGATGGTGGTGGGAAGCAGAGCAGGAGGAGGAGAATGCAGCTTGTGAACAAGCTGTGGTCTGATCCGCTGAGCATGGAGAACGTGCAAGAGAGTGCACAGATTGTTGCCAAGCTAGTCGGGTTTTGGGAGACAGGAGAGCCTGTTTCCAAGGAGATGTTTGAGCTCAATTTTGTTTCCCCCTGTGACAAGAAATCATGGATGGGTTGGAATCTCATATCCAATCTCTTACACTTGTAGCCAGCCAAACCTCCCTCTCCCTAGTCCCTTCCTCACCCTTGTTCTTTCTTTTTACACTTGCACAAAACCATCACCACTGCAACAATGAATGAATGAATGATTCAACCCTTTTTTTTGTAATATAATTTTTTCCATGCTTCATCCTTTCTTACACTTAAAAACGTTAAGCCAACCACTTTTTGGTGGAGTGATGATATGCAAGGTGTTCTTTAGCATTCACATTGGAGTAGGACAGAACCAAAATAATGAAATACTCCCATCAAGACAACAATCTTAGAAAAAAATGAAGTCTCATATTACAAGATAAATTTGATTATTTGTTTAATGCAATTCACTCCCATCAACACTCCTCAATCATGCAACAGGTTGACATTTTTTTTCTACTAGTATCAACCCCGTGCTTCGCACGGACTCACATATATTGTAAATTTTAACATCTAAAAAATAAAATATCATTTATTTTAGATTCTTTAATAATGATATATGATGTGTTTGATAAATAACTTCTAACTATAAAATATCTTCTTTGAGAAAAAAGTTTTAGTTTTAATATTAATGTACATGTATTAAAATTTATATAAATCTTTCTTTTGAGATGTAATAAAAGGGAAAATAATGAATAGTTTATTAAAAGCCACATCAAGCTTTCTTTTTTAAAAGATTAATAAAGTTTATAAAATCTTTTTTTAGATATATAACTAATTATGTATAGTGGCGTGACTTTTTTATTACCTAAATAGTATTTGAATAATGACTAGTGGCGGGAACAATATCCAGTGATGGTGGACATTTAGTTTGAACAATGTCCAGTGATGGTGGACATTTACTTGAACAATGACCAGTGGTAGTACATTGGAAAATAAAAATATATGATACTGCACTGGAAAAGTCACTATGTGTTAGTACTATTTAGGTAAATTCCCCTAAAATAGATAATGTAATAAGACAAAAAATTGAAATATGTTATGAAGTAAATCCAAATAGAAACTGAAGATTAGAACTCCTAAAATTAGAATTGAAAATGAAATATAATGATTGTTTAAAACATTATCATGCATCTTTCAAACTATACCATCAGGAAATTAAATTTAATTCAAACATGAATCTAAAGTAGTACGGAATAACATCTAAAAGAAATTATAATTCAAATGCACGTTTTAAAATACAACTTCAAATTAATCAAAACTAAAAAAACGTGTACAAAAAAATTTATGTAGCTTTTTATAATAAGGGTCACGCTAGGGGTACACCAAAATGGTATACCCCATTTGTACACCAGTGCAACTCAGACACACAGACACTATATGTCGTGGGATCCATAGGCATATAGTGTCTATGTGTGTCTAACTTGCACTAGTGTACAAATGTGGTACACTACCCCTAGCTTTATTTAAACAACAACAACAACAACAATTATAATAAAAAATAATAATAACGACAACAATTATAATAGGAACTTGAAATTTATTCTAGTTTTTTCTGATTTTTTCTAATTTTTCTAATTTTTTTCAATTTTTTCTAATTTCCCATTTTTTCTAACATTACATTATTTTTTTTACAGTCGAGTAAATTGTTGGAAAACATTTTCACTTTGACATTTTTCTAATGACAATGCTTGTTTCCGTTTAGGTTTTGATATTGACAAACCGTCGGGAACATGGAACAAAATGAAAAGATTCAAAGAGATAGAAAAAGTTCTTTGAAGAAACAAAAAGCACAAGAAAGGCATTGACATTGCTAAAGATGGCGACATTGGCGCTTTGAAGACGTTTTTAAAGACTTAGGTTTTTATTGTAACAAGCTCATTCAATTTCTCTACGTCATGGCTCAAAACAAAATATGTTTTTCATGCATCAAATGAGTGTTTTCATAAATGGTTTTTGAGTTTCTAAAACCCATGGTTCTTGCTTAACCAAAACCATAACCATCGATTATCGGCGTTCGGCTATGGCGTTCGGTTTTCGGCATTGGTTATTGGCATTGAGTTTAACCAAATGGTTTTTGGGTTTTTATCTTTGGTTTATGCTTCTGGACACATTTAAAGGTTTTCCAAATCATTAGTTTTCAAAAACCATAACCCTTGTTTTTTCGGCGTTGGTTATCGGCATTCGGCGTTGGTTATCGGCGTTGGTTTTTGGCGTCCAAATTAATCAAGTGGTTTTTAATATTTTATGATTGGCTTTTACTTCTGGACATATCCAAATGGTTCTCCAATAAAAACACTTCAAAAACCACCTCTCGTTTTTGGTCGTTTGGCAAAAACCATGCGAAACGGCATAAACTTGGCTAGCCGTGGTTTTTACCTTAATGAAGTGGTTTTTAAGTTTTTATACTTGGTTTCTACATAAAATACATTAAATAAGTGTTTTAAACACTTAGGTTTTACTTTGGAGAACTTTGCATTTTTCAGTCGGGTTTGAGCGCCGGTCGGCTAGGCCATGGTTTTGGACTAGCCATCTACCCAGCGATGGTAGATATCACCCATCCATGGGTAAGTGATCCCGGGATTCCAGAACCATGCCACCCAGTGATGGGAGATATTACCCATCCATGGGTAAGTGATCCGGGATTCCAGAACCATGCCACCCAGCGATGGGAGATATTACCCATCCATGGGTAAGTGACTTCCCAGCCATGGGAGGATATTACCCATCCATGGGAAGGCATGACCGTTGTAAGGCATTTAAGGCTGATTCTTTCCTTGTTTGAAAGTCAACCTCCCACCCAGCGATGGGAAGCTCTTACACATCCATGGGTAGGTGACCGTTGTCTTTAAAACTGAAGGAAAAATGGCTTACCAGCGATGGGTAGTTCCATACATCGCTGGGTAGGCTAATTTCCTGCCGATCCACTTTTATTTAATTTCCAAAAAATCATGCCATTAAACCCAAATCAACTCCCATCCGTTACACATCATTTCTGGGTATAAATAAGGGTCTTTTGGGTCTCTTTTTCACAACCATTCCTCACACATTTCATAGTTTTACATTGCATCATTCCATAAACTTTTTACATAGATTTTTAAAGCCATTTCTTGAGGAATTGAGTGCGTTCTTGATCTAAATTAGTTTACTCATATTCTACTCTTTAAGTGAGTTTTTGTTCTTGAGTGGTTAAGTGTTGTGAACACTTTAAGAGAGGTTTGTTCCCTTGGTTGTACGAAGGAAGGGCATATTCCTTCGGGTTGAAGTCTTGGAGTGCAGTATCTCCGAGCAAGTGTATTGAGGCTCGTGGGACTCGAGTTCTCAGGTTGTAACGGTTTGTTAAGCACCCGTAAGCTTAACGGAAGTAGTGTAGCTCGAGAGAGTCTCTCGGGAGACTGGATTAGCCACACGTTGTGGTGAACCAGTATAAATCTTGGTGTGCTCCCTTTACGCTTTCTTCGCTCTTTACTTTTCACTTTCTTAATTTTTTATTCCTGCGATTTCTACAATCAAACGCTATTCACCCCCCCTCTAGCGTTGGTCACTTATTCTAACATAAATTTCCAAAATGGTATTCAATAGCCATGTATTTTACCAAATTAATCCCCAAAATTAACTAATTCCTGAGATGGTACTAATGAATTGAGAATGATGTTCAGTTTAGTCCTCCCGACTACCGACCGTTAAAATAACATTAAAACGATGTTAAGCCTTATACTATTTTTCCAAGATAGTACTCCCTCCGTCCAAAAAAGAACTTCCCACTTTCCTTATTCGTTCGTCCACAAAAAAACTTCCCGTTTCTATTTTAGGAAAGTTTTTGCCAATGAAATGTCCATTCTACCCTTATTCTCTACTTCCTCTCCCTTTCTTTTTTCTCTTTTTTTCTTTTTTCTTCTACCGTTTTTTCTGCTCCGGTTGCTTTTCTCCTTTTTCTCCCTCTTCTTCATTCTTTTTCTCTTCCTTATTTGTTCTCCTTCTTTCTTCTCTTTTCATCTTCTTCTTTCTTCTTCCTTCCGTTTCTGTCTTCTTCTTCTTTGTTCTTCCATCTTCTTCTTCTTATTTCTTCTTCATTTTTTTCTGTTTTTTCTTCTTCTTCTTTCGTCAACTGGAAGAAGAATTTTTTTTCCAAATCTGGTTGCATCTTCTCTGGATCTAGGTTTGTAGTGACAAAATTTTTAATTTTTTTCCAGATCTATGAAGGGATGTTGATTTTCTTCCCTAACTAGAAGTCTAAAAATAGATCTTTGACGACGGGGGCTTGTGACGGCGAGAGATGCAGGTTGTGACGGCGAGAGGATGCCAGGGCTGCGACGGCTGGGCGCTTCGATGGCAGGGGCTTTCGACGGCGGGTGATGCGGAAGCATCATCGGCGGTGGTGCATAAGCCGCAGCGGCGGCGGTGCAGAAATGTCAACGTCGGCTGTAGTAGACGGCATCGCAGCGGCGGCGGTGCAGAAATGTCAGCGTCGGCTGTGGTAGAGGGGGGTTGCAATGGTGGGGGCGGGTCTGCGACAGTGACAGTGGGAAGTTGTGGAGGGGAGGGGCGGTGGAGAGAGGCAATAGGGCTAAGGGGCATATTGGGAAAGTCAACACAATTTTCATCACATATAAATTTGCGTGCCCGGTCAAACCGGGAAGTTCTTTTTTGGACGGAGGGAGTACTTTCTAACTGAGTGTTTTTTCAAATTAGTCCATTTTCGAAATAAAAATACATTAATTATGAAAAAATATTTTAAATTCTATAAGACGACAACATTATACTAAAAACTACAAGCCTAATTTTATAAATTTGGAGTAAACGTTTTAGATTATTTACAACTATTTAGAGGAATATCATGTAAATAAAATGTTAAAAAAAACGTTAAAGAAATCACCCTAAATAGAAGTAAAATATAAAGAAAGTATAAAAATAGAAGTTCTTTTTCTTTGTTTTACTCCTATTTATAATGATTTCTTTAACATTTATTAAACATTTTATTTATGTGATATTCTTCTAAATAATTGTAAATAATCTAAACCATTTATTTTCAAAATTATAAAATTATATTTATAGTTTTTAGTATAATGTTGTCATCCTATAAAATTTAAAATATTTTTCATAATTAATATACGGAGTATTTATATTTTAAAAAATAGACTAATTTGAAAAAACAGAGTTTTAGAATACCATTTTGAAACATTAGTATAAAGTTTGACGTCGCTTTAATGCCGTTTTAACGGTCACTAGTCGGAAGAATTGAACTGAATATTATTCTCAATTAACGAGTATCATGTCAGGAATTAATTAATTTTGAGAATTAATTTAAAAGAACACATTTGTATACCATTTTGGGAATTGCTAGTAGGCTTCTAAGTTGAGAATATGGCTTTAATACTCCCTTCTCAAAGAAAACACAAAACGAATTCATCCTCGTCTATTATCCCCACCCTGTAAGCCCTAGAAAGCCGCAGCTGCTCGATACTCCCTCTGCGCGTTTGAATCCTCGTCAAGATTCACAATATGGGGAGAGAGGTGGTCGGACAGAAGCAGCCATCTACGCTGTCGTACACGGTGGAGCAGCTCCTCGTCGTCAATCCCTACAATCCCGACATTCTTCCCGATCTCGAGAACTACGTCAATGAACAGGTCCGAATTAAGATGGAGTACCGGACCTGTTTTTCATTTTCTTTTTTATGCATTGCTTTTGGAATGATTCTTTCAGTTTTGTTTTAGTGTTATAGTCAATACAGATTTATAGCTTTCATTATTTGAGCTATTTTTTCTTAAGCTGATGATTTTTCGTGTGTAAAATGGACATTAGGTTTCTTCACAGACTTACAATTTGGATGCAAATCTTTGTCTTTTGCGACTTTACCAGGTCTGTTTTGGCTTCTTCATATTCTTTTTTGTACTTGTAATAACTAATTTGATTCTGGATTTCGGATTACATAAATATATCACTTTTTGTTGTGTGTTTTTTTGCTGGTGATTGTAGTTCGAGCCTGAGAGGATGAGCACTCAAATTGTTGTTCGCATTTTGGTCAAGGTATATTTCAAATACTTGTTTTTTTCTCATGAACAACCTTTTAATGATGAGCATTTTTTTTGGGACAGCTGACAGTAGTATCAGTGTTGCGCTGTGATTTCTTTTTCGCTTTAAATTATATGTTCATTTTTTTCTTGACGCAGGCCCTCATGGCAATGCCAGCTCCAGATTTCAGCCTTTGCCTCTTCTTAATCCCAGAAAAAGTGGTATGTTTATATGCGCGCGCACACACACATCCTTGTGTTATTATTTCATGCTTGATGTTTGTTAAATGTTTAAGTAGATAACAAGAATTATTAGGATTCAGGTTTTGATTTGTCCCCTTCAATTTAATCTTGTTGCTGAATGCCATTGCGCAAGTAATCATATCATTGGGTACTTGTTACATGATGTATTTAGTGCAAATTGTTGAATAATGTTTTCTGGTGACCAGCAAATGGAAGAACAATTCAAGGCATTAGTTGTACTCTCACACTACTTGGAGGTATTGTAAAGTTGAATATCATTATTCATAATCACTATTTGTTTTGGAGGAATGATAATCATGTTGCTAGGCTTCAATCTTTGATTTCAGACAGCAAGATTTCGCCAATTTTGGGATGAGGCAGCTAAGTGCCGTCATATAGTAGAAGTTGTGCCTGGTATGTGCACAATAATTTTACCTCACCTCCTTTCATTTGGGAACCTGTTTATGTCGCTGCAATCTGTTGTAAACTAATGCAAGAAATAAGATTTGTACTGATGCTGTGATGTACATTAAACAATGAATGCATTGGGAGAACACAAGTGCTTGCTAGCTGGTTTCACTAATTATGCAGAGATCATTTGATTCGTGGTTTTGGTTCTCGTGACGGGTTTAAGTAAGATACTTTTGCAGGTTTTGAGCATGCAATTCAACTGTATGCAATTCATGTTCTTTCACTGACTTACCAAAAAGTCCCAAGGAATGTTCTCGCAGAGGTATGCCACTCTTTATCAGTATATTCTTGTGTTTTGAATCTGGTGCTACAAATGGGCCCTGGATGTGAGTAAGAAGAGAACTAACATCATTCTTAGCTAGTTCATTAAATTTATACAAGATTATAAATCATTTACAGTATTTGCTAACACAAACTGTATACAATTCAATTTTAATACTCCGTATATGAAATGAGCCTTTCCTTCTCTCTATCATGCAACTTCATATAAAACTGGAATTAATTTCATTTTAAGTAGTTACTTTATGCATGCTCTCCCTTGTTCAAATCCATGCAGGCCATCAATGTCGAAGGCCTTTCGCTGGACAAATTTCTTGAGCACCAAGTGATAAACAATGGGTGGGCCATAGAGAAAGATCAAAGCAGGGGCCAACTCATTACCCTCCCCAAAAATGAGTTCAACCATCCATCCCAAAGGAAAAGCACAACTGATGCTGTCCCATTGGAACATGTCGCACGCATATTCCCCATACTTTGCTGATTTACCCAATTGAGTTTGAATGCCGCACACAAAAAGGGCTAATTTTTTAGTCCGCGAACAAACCTGAATTGATACCGCTAGGTTTATCATTGGACGCACTTGCTTTTTTTTCCTTTTGAACCGTGATTGTCATTGCGCTCTCTTTCTATGTATGTTGGTGGGACTCAGAATTGTTCAAAACCGTGTGTACTATTTCCGAAAGCTAACCTTTTTGGTCGTTAATGATTCATGGGATGTCTTTATTACACATTATTTCTTATAAGGGAGGGATTCTATCACTCTTTATCAAGATTACAAACATCCAACCTACCTAACTATAAAATAATCAGAAAATTATCCCTCCAACATCTTGACACCATTGTAAATGGTGATGTCATGGCAAGGCTATGAGCAATGACATTACCCTTCCCAAAAGACAAAAAAGGCAAGGCCATGAAGTAAGATACTGTTGTGTCCTAGAGATGAACTATAGCAGAAGTTTGCAGAGCCCATAGGACTTCCTGAATGTTTCCGAATAACCCTAGTTTCTACTTTAGGCTCCTAACCTTACACAATGTGATCTCACTCCACCTGCATCTAATACTTCTCGTGTCTACACACCTATCCATGCACAACATAGCCCCATTGTTCAAAATGTAAGCAATTACTCAACAAATTACTTCAGAAATCTAATTAGTCAAAATGCAAACAATGTAAATAATTATGGAGTACATGCCTGTTTTGAGGCATTAGTGAGTAAGAGTAGATTGAGTTCAACTATTGTGCACAGCAGCAAATTGAGGGCAACTCCGTAAACAACAAAAGAGGCAAGACCCCGAAGCCTCGTACCTTCGCTCCTTCAACGCGAATAACTCTAGTTTCTGTAGGTCTGCTGCATTTGTTGACTTGAAGAAGAAAGAAGTGGGGGTTAAATATGGAATTTCATTGGCTATGATTACTGAAAGTTGCGGAGTGGCTAGCTGTAACGGTGGGTTTGACAGAAAGTACCCCGACTCCCCGGGTCACTTACCGGATATTTTAAGGGACAGTAGAATATATTTTAAAAATTGATGGAACATGTTAATTCTTTTAACCATTAATTAACCACATCATTTCTAGATGACTATTCACACAAATTTTCTTCAGATTACAACAATTAGAAGCTTCCATATTCTTCTTCCATAACAACTTCACCACGAGTTGAAGTTTCATCTTTCGTCTTACATGTTGAACATGGAGAGAACATTAATCTTTAAATGATCGAGAGTTTAATATTTTCGTTTACCAAGAGAATGGCCAGCCCATGTTAATCTTCATTCGTGGCAGCCAGTTTACTATTAACTGCAATAGTACAGAGTAAAATATACTCCCTATATATTTGCTATGGCATAAGTGGCTTCCTGAAACACAATGTTACTCATTCATGCAGGTTTTGGAACCACAATGTATTGGTCCATTTTCACTCATCATACTGTGCTTGATGAACAATAATAAGCCTGTGGGCAAATCGGTCTAAGCCTTCCCCGTATCATCTTTCTAATGCAAATGTGTCTCAAAAAAACATCGAAAATTTGCTTTCATGTTCGTTCATTTACAACATAAAGTAGTAGTAGATCTTCATCAGTTCCAGTCAAAAAAAATTTTGCTTGCATATTCATTTACAACAACATCGCACAAAAGAAAACAAGTTAGGAAAGCAGCAGCACTTGCCCTCCTGAAAGAATAGTTTTTTTTTTTGAAATATATATTTTTAAAAAATCAAATTGGCTTTGTCAGTGCCCTGTATAAAGCTCGGTGACGTTCATCCTCTCCTCTCCACTGCACATTTAGATCAATGACAGAGTGTTTCTCCATATGTAACCCAACCCACAAAACTGTCTGAAAATTCCTCTAGAACTTTATGAGTGTGGGCATCCTTGTAATCAACTCCAACTTCGTCACCATAACACATCTTTCCCTACAAACAACACATAAAGTACATGTAATCAAAAGCCTGATTTTGCTGGCAATAACAGTTTCCGTACGCGCGTAGTAACCAACTAACCACAGAGTTACATCCAGGCAGTGTTTGTTACAGAGGAGACATTTTTTCACGGAAATCATTTTATTGTTTTCCTGTGAGGAGGAAAATCGTCTCTTGTGTTATGACTTGAGATTGTTTTTTTTATGACTTGAGATTGTTGAGAAATCAGTTTTCCATCTCCTTGGGAAATATGTATTTTGCAGTATTATTCAGTATTTTGTAGCCTTGTAATGTCAACTTCTGGCGACTATAGAATGGCATGCCCAACAAGTATTTTCTAGTTCGCCAGACACTAGAAAATGAAATTAAAAAAATAACTTTTTTTTTGGCAAAATCTTTTCCATAGAAATTCAGTAAACCACCCTTTAGTCTTATATCATGGAGCAACAAAAAGGAAACTATTTGCAATTACTAGCCAATAAATTCACATCAATATAAGAGTAATTTAGCCCATTTGTGAGGGTGGACATTGGGAGTGGGGGTGTAAAAAGCAGTAGTTAGAATATAAATTTATGACACAAATAACTAGTCAGACTACGAATTTCACGAAGGTGCAAGAGTAACTGTAGTATTGTGCAAATGGAATGAGACAAACTGAGATATAGCAGAATAGATTACAGACCTTCGTACTATGTTCACCTTCACTGGGCATGTCTCCGACAATAACATTGGCAACATTATCTGATGATGCACCAGCAATAGGAGAGGCTGTGTACATTGATCTGCAACCAAGCAAAAATCATTGAGCTCCTAAGGCCCTACATTTCTACTTATCAGCCTTCTCAGCCAAACACCAACTTAGCTGAATACATGGGTTCATAAGGTTGATAATAAAAAAAAGTAAAGCAGAGAGTACTTATGATGAAAATATTGAAATAATTAAAATGAATGGAAATAAGAACATTACCGTACAAGTCCAATCAGAATGACTACAAAACAACTTCATGCAATTAAAAGTTTTGAGAACGGTGCAGGAAAAGTTGAAGAAAGTCTACCCATTAGCTATTGATATTAATAATTCTTCAGTATCAGCCATTACCCCATTCAACATGGGTGCAAAACTCATCTTTTGGAGGTGCCTGATGGAAATGAGGTTAATTCAAAGGTCTGCTCTTAGTCCTATCATGTTCCGATGTGGCATATTCAGGGGGAGGTACCCTGGGGCATGTTATTTACGGACAATAGTATTCTGATTGACAAGATGCATGAGGGACTCAATGATAGGTTGGAAATGTGGCACAAGTCCTTGGAATCCCAAAGCTTCAAATTGAATGTTGCTTCAATTGTCGGACAACTAAGTCTGGGCGGTATGGGAAAGGATTTACTCGCATCCAGTACCTTAAAAGGGACAAATTTTGGAATCTTGGATCTATCATTCAAAACAATGAGGATGTTGTCTATCACATTGGATCCGGATGGGAAACATAAAAGCTAGAGTACGGAGCGAAGTTTTGACTAAAGGGTAAACAAAGAACATAACTTTTGAAACATCAGACAACCATACTGAATGTGATTCCTTTACCAAATGGGTATGTCTATTCTGAATTGCAATCTCTGAAGCAAATTGTAGTGAACAATGAAAACTGAGAAAATCCTAAGTAATACAAAGGATAAATAGATATGAGGTTGTTTAAAACAGACAGTACTAGAAAGAGAACATTCATAGCAGACACAATTATTATTATTACGCTATGAATTATAAAACAAGTTGTATTTCTCAACCTCACAAAACCTGCATATGAATTATGAAAGACAGGTGGTAAGCAAACTGGAGAGTGGTGGGTTGCCTCTCTGGCAGATTGAAAACGTAAAAATAAATCCAACTAAGCTGCCTAGTCCGAGTTTCTGATTTTTGGAAGAGCACAGAATGTAACTCAGCAGTTGCAAAATTATTACCTTTCTAATAGTTCTTCATCATAAGAATTCCCAGATGAAGAAAGCCAGTCTAAGTCTACAAAGTTTGAGCAGTCAGATGCATCCCCACTTTCGTGTTCTTTGAGTTTATCTCCCTGCAGCTCTACAAAAACCTCCCTTCCAGGCATGGAGGGAGTACACCTGGACAAGATATTTGAATGTGAAAGCAACCCAATTTACTCGGCTGACAATCTCCATCTTTTGAATAAAGAATTCAGTAACAAGTTTAATGATCATATGTTATTTATATTTAAGGAACAATGACAACAACTAAGTATGATTCGAACTCAGTTGGGGTCCGAATCTATGCAGTTCCTTGAGGCATTGCTGCATTTACTTCCCAAAAACTTCATAGAAAGTAAGATGCGGAGGAAGTAAAAAAATATCATTATCAAAGGTCTAACAAAGCGAAACAAATTCGCCATAACGTGAAAGAAGTAATAACTAGATGGGTTAGGAATTTTGCATTGAGATGAGGCAAGAAATAGCAAACATGAAACTACCCGCGAGTATAGTTGAAATAAAGAGAATCAATAAGAGGGCTAACCACAAAAGATATTTTGATCACATAATAGCCACCAGCAGGAGTATTCAAACTGCCCCAAGAACACATTATGAAGTATAGTTATTGATTTATTAACTAACCAATGACAATACAATTGAAGGTAATGAGAGAGAATAAGGGGTCAGCACAATTATCCCATATCCACATGATTTTTTAGTCATCTAATATTATTTAAACATTAATTGAAGTGTAAATGCCTCGGATGACAGGCTGTGGTTTATAGGCTTTCCTTAACTTCACATTCGGTTAAATGGGGCACAAGATTAATTCATGTGGGCCAGATCTGTACACCCTCCCTAGAAAGCATAGTACCTCCATCTTACATGTCAAATTTTGAATGTCTAAATTTGACAAAAATGTGGAGGATAATATCATCACACAAGACGCCTACCAATATTTTACACCCTTCGTCCCAAAACAGGACTCGTGTTAATTAAAAAAAATCTTTTTAAAAAAGAATTATGTTTCAACAAATGAAACTAGCGTTGCACTGGAATTTTGGCAATTTCGCAAAACGATATGCCGAACAAGATAAAACTAAGTTAAACCAACAAAAAGAATTAGAAAATATATAGAAATACAATAGATGGTTTGTAAGAGCTGCCTTGCACCTTACCAAAATATTAAGAGCTTGTTGTCTTCAACTTTCCTTATTACTTAGACCAACCACATCTTATCAAACCGTAATAAAATCAGATTAGATCTAATAAAGAGAACAGGCTCTAAATTGTAATTGGTGAAACAAAATTTTCCTTTGGGGCGGAGGAAGTACAGAATAACTATGCATGCATTTTCAGGTGTTTTACAACTAAGATACACTTCAAGTTGGCACATAATGCAAGGTATCTGAAACTAAACAGAAGCGCATACAGAGTTATATAAAAATGTATCTGGAACTTAAAACACAAAGCAAAGAAGACTTAAAGTACTACACCACAGATCTTGAAGGGAAAATCTATATATATTTCATTTAAAGGGTAAAAGAGTTAGGTGAATTACAGTAATTTTATTCTGGCACACAAAAATCCAACCGATATTTAGATATTATGATGCATTCAGCAACAAACCAAAAATCAACAAATAAGGGTGTAGTTGAGTTGGCTAAAATAGCGGCGCTCAGTTTCGGAGTTTTAGCTATGGTGTTTTGGTAAATGTATTCTTTAGCGGAACACTAGGCATACACGCTAGATTAGGAAATTTCATTCACCCTAGAATTTATTTTCTTGTTTTGAGGGTTTGTAATGGATCTCTCTATTAAAGATGAGGTTTACGCTGAATAAAATAAAACCAGAAATTGTCATAATTATGTAGTAAGGGGTTAGAAGAGAACTCAACAACATCTATTTATTCCAGGTTTCCTTTTAATGTCTTCTCATGTTTACACAAGTTTCATCATCTCCTTTGAGTGCAGTACACAGCTTCCCTCATGGAAAGCTCCTGCCGTATTCTTTCAACCCATTGAGATGATCCCTGTCCTGAGTATTTAGCACACTAGTATTTGAGAAATCTTGCATCTAATGTTAAACCACATAAGCGCAATATGGAGCCTAGGGTGTATAGAGGGTGTTTGGGAGTGTTAGTTTTTTATGAAATGATTTTTTGACTACATAATCCAACAAAACCTCAGAGCTGCTTCTCAGCTTCTGCACCTCAATCTATACCAGAAGTTAAGAATTGGTCACCACAAGTGTTGTCAAACATTACCAAAGTGCTTATATCCAATGTAGAAGCGGTGTTTCAGACTTTCAGTCACCAAAAAGCACTCACAAACACCCCGATAATCTCTTAGTGATACAATTGCAACTAAGAATTCCCAGACTATTCTACTCTAAAAACTCCAAGGACTAAACAATACTTCAAGACAGTTCAAGTTCCATGATCACAAGATCACAATGCTTTCTAACAGCTAGAGGAGTAGAGGACTGATGTTGAATACATAGCCATCTTGTCCATTTAAGAGTTCTTTTAGCTCACAACAGAAAGATTTATTGCAATACCACAGCCAGTCATGCAAAATGAATTACCTAGAAGCCGTTAAACCAATTTGGCAAGTAGAGATTTCTGGGGTTGATGGAAGAACTTTGCTTCCTTGTGATTGATCAGAAAAATTGATGTTAGAAAAATCTCTTTTGAAGGACCTGGTGGGTGTGGGTGATTGAATTTCATGGAGAATATTCCCATCTGAGAATGATCTTTTGAAGACAGATCTGCATAAGAAAAGCAGGAACTCAGATATCTAATTATACATAATGCAAGCAAGAAAATTCACATCAAGATCAAGAAGTATATTAAACAGTGTTGAATTATTAGGTGGATCCGTGGATTCTAAAATGAGATTCATGAGCTACTCATGAGTGTTCAGTTAATATAGTGTATCCTGTTATGTCTAAAAGGGGCACAGAAAGAACTATAATCACGACTTTTACCATCTCAGTTTATCAAAATTTGATCATAATACTCCATATGATTTTCAAATGCAATATTCATAGAATATAGAACCATCTCCACCTATATACCTTCCATTTTCATCAATATTTGGCACCACATTCCTGCCCACAGTGTAATGCTGATCAGAATCCAACTCCCAAATGTCAGGTTTTCCTTTTTGAGGCTGAAAATGCCCCAAGAATCTGCTCAAAAATATCGATCGCATTGATTAGTTAATTCCAAACAAAGCATAACAAATTAACCCGTGTAATGTCAAACAAGCTTAGAGCCCCTTGAGTATTTGATAACATATATATGATGCTCTAAACGTCTTTCTAGGTTTCTTAGCCCCTTAAGCCCAGTGAACAAAGAGATGGAGTACTAGATAGCAATAAGGGACTAACATATTAATAGCATTTTGTTTTTCTGCATCCATATATGCATTGTTGTAGTATCTCTGAAGAGTTCTCAAAAACTCCTGTGATTGAGTTGCTGCTTTCCACTGACACCTTCTCTCAGAGAAAATCTAGAGAATAACATATATACAAGGCATCAATAGCAGGTTGGGAAGTGGGAACTGATGAATAAACTAGGCACACCACACGATCACTACAGATAAAATATAAAATATACAAGCACTCATACCCTTGATGTACACTTGACAAAATTGACTACTATCTGAAAATACCAGGTTTAACATAAAAATTGACAACTAGCTAACGAAGTGAAATTTGACATTTGAATTGACTAATGGCTAATAAAGTGGAGTTACCTTGTTATGAGCAGCAGAGCCACCATACTGATGGGCAAGTGTATCACCCATTCTCTCATAGAACCCCATTAAATCCTCAGCTAAAGGATCATCCAGGTCAATATTTGTTGAGCTTGTAACTCCTAGAGCACAAAGCTGATGACCCAAAGCAGCCAAACCATATGCATATTGTGCCACATTAGTTCTGTCCAAACAATCTATGCAATTTGTCCTGAGAACCCCCTTCTGTAATAATGGAGCCTTTATGGAAGGAACACCATCCGATTTCCCTTCAACATTATCAAAGCTGCTGTTCTCGTCACCACCATGTTCCTCGTTATCAGGATTACAATGTCCCAATTGGGCCATAGAGCTTGCATCAGCACTCCTGTGCCATACATAATTGCTAGCTATTCAGACCAGTTTGATTTAGCATGAAAGTAAATTTTGAAAAAAAAAATTAAACAACAAAAACTAACAATGAAGAAGAAATCTATGTCCATTTTTATGTGCATATATTTTCCTGGAATCCTAAATGAGCAACTTACACAAGTTGAGGCCACCTTGGAGATGCTTCAGATAATAAGGGTGGTGTTGCTTGGCAGTAGAAAAACCCAGTTAAAGTCAATGCATATGCAGCCACTTTTCCCAGGAAAAACAAGACATTTGTGTCTTTACTGGAGAACAGAAAAAATGGAACTTATATGAAACAGGATACTTAACAATTGAAAAGCATAAAAGATGCAAAACCAAATACCTCCGTGAGTGCTTGTGCAAGTCCCAGTGAAGAAACTTAAGACGATGTTCTTCTGATAAATCCTTATTGATAGATTCTATTGCATTAGCAAACTCAGTACGAAGAATGGATTCCCTGGGTTTTTTTTCATTGGTCTGGCAAAAGCAAGACATTTAATTAGCTTAAACAACCTTGCAGTGTGTTAGGGCAATGAGGTGTGCAGTTTTCACATATAAGACAGAAGGATAAAAGCCCTTAGGTTTTTTCAATGGTATCATTCCCATAACAAAAATCTTGTCAAACTCAAAATGTATAAAGAAAGATATGAAAATAAGTAGTCCATAAAATTCTAAGGATACTGTTCAAATCTCCTCACCTTTATTAAATTCAAAATAATTATGGGGTTCCCATATCTCTTGGCAAGGTTCTCGAAGTGCAGTCTGGTTGCTTCGTAAGTTTGATCTCTCTTTGACACTGAATGAAATCAATATTATTTATATAAAAAAAACAAATTTAGAAGGCTTAGAAATGTAGACAATCTAGGTATGAATGTTATGAGATATCGTACATGCTATATCAGGCTTAAGATTTAGGCGTGACGTTTCCTGTGACCAAAAGAGTGGAATTGACCCACGGTTTTGGACAACTGAGCTAATCTGCATTGGAAACCCTTCTGTGGCATCCTCAAATACAATTTGTTCTGTCTCAACATCATTGGCTACTCTTCCCTTTTCATTCACACCCCGTTTCAAATATCTATTCAAAGTCATGAGTTAAACATCAGCCATCATGTACAATAGTTCCAAACAAAACTATTGATTTAATTTGTTGTTTTAGTGAGATAATATCATCAAGCAGTAGTGACAGTTAATTACTATATGTTTGTTGAACATAGATCAATGACATCTGTGCTTGAAAGTCAAGTTAGATATTATGTACTCAAGAGCTTAGTTTAATTAAGCTTAAAGACAATGGTTACCCATATTTGATGAGACATGGTTAATTTTGACTCTCAAAAACGTATCATCTAAATGTATACCAAAAATGTTAGAGAGCAACTCCAAACCGCTAGGACGTGTATAAAAATGGTGCAATGTTACACACACGACAACAATAACAACAAAACCCAAAATAATTTGGTAATTTGTATGTAGCAAGACTGCTAAAAATAGAGAGGTTATTTCAGACTTTCAGTTAGCCCCTTGATACATCGCTGTAGTTAATACCCAAAACTTCATAGAGAGTAAGAATCAAAAGGAGTTTAATGTGCCATTTTGCTTTAGAATGATTTAGACGATTATTTACCCGAAGGTAAAAGTTTTTCAATAATGACTCTTTTAGCTCCGCTGGCAACATATATCAATACCCCCCCCCACCCCCTCAATTTTGGAACTCTGATATTATTTATGCCCACCTCATTATAGATATAACCAACCATAGTACAATTGAAGAAATAACTCAACTAGGTATTTTCCTGTTCGCACATGTGATGTACAAATAAATTCTAACTGAATCTTCACACGAACAAACCATCAAACCACTTCAATATGCTTTGTCAACTCATGAAAAAATAGAATATTAGCAACATGAATAGCTTCTTGATTCTCACACCAAAATTCCAATGGAAAATGAGTCTCAATCCATATTTCCTTGAGCAACTTACAATTCCATTTCAGTTCACGGCTTGTTTGAGCCATAGCTCTGTGTGTAACCACATCTTGGCTTCTTTGTATACTATTCAAGTCAACTAGAATAAAATATTTCTGATTCTTTGGGTAGATAGAAAAAGGTATAAATTGCAGGGAATTCCTAAATCCACTAAATCCGAAGAAGCTCTGCACTCTATAATGGTTGTCCGCAATAATAAGGTCCCAACCAGCAGCGAAATCGTGGATTTGGAGGAAATTTGTATGGAGTTTGCAGCTGTTTTTTGTGAGCTACAACACTGCCACCATTCCGGGAGCACTACCATTTGATATTTTAATTCCTCTTATTCATGGGTTGATTCCACCTAATTTGAGACCTTACAGGTGTCCATATTTTCATAAAAATGAGATCAAAAATCAGGTTGCAGAGTTACTCCAAAAGGGCTCTATTCGTCATAGTTCAAGTCTGTTTGCCAGTCCGGTGCTCTTAGTAATAAAAAAGGATGAATTATGGTGTATCTGTGTTGACTGCAGGCACTCAACAAACTCACAATTGCAGATAAGTATCCTATATCCAATACCCATGGATTGTTGGATGAGTTAAATGGCGCTGCTTATTTTCCAGAAATCCATCTCCGATCTGGCTATCACCAAAATAGATTTTAGAGGTCGATATTCCCAAAACGGCATTTAGAACTCATAATGGCCACTACGAATATGTCATCATGCTGTTCGGTCTCACAAATGCTCCAGCAACTTTCCAAAGGGAGCAATGAATGATCATTTTAAACATCACTTAAGAAAGTTTGTGTTGGTCTTCTTCAGTGATATCGTAATCTATAGCAAAGATGTAGATCCACACAAGGAGCACCTTCGCACTATTTTATTAACACTGCAGCAACACTCTTGTCATTTCAATGCAAAGAAGTGTGAGCTGTGACGATCTGGAGTCTCCTTTTTGGGACATAAAATCTCTTCTCAGGGTGTAGAGACACATTGTGAGAAGATTGCCACAGTGAAAGACTGACTGGTACCTACCAATGTTACTAGACTACAAGGATTTCTGGATACTTGACTACTAGCAGGTTAGTGCAAAATTGTCTTTAATTAATGCACCCGTGCTTAAACTTCTGGATTTTTCTGTTGAATTCATGATTGAATGTGATGCCTCTATGGAAGGATTATGAGCTATTTTGTTGCAAAATGGTCATCCCATTGCTTTCTTATAGCAAAGGTTTCTCTTTTTCAAACAGGTAAAGATCTACATATGACCAAAAGTTATTAGCTGTGGTCTTAGCCATACAACATTGGCATCATTATGTGCTGCGACGTCGCTTCACAGTTAAAACGGACCATCACAGCCTCAAGTCCCTCCTAGAGCAAAAAACTCTCGCTAACAGCCAGCAGTGCCTTATTCCGAAACTTCTCCCATTTGATTTCAGAAATTATTTACAAAGCTCGAAAAGAGAACGTAGGGGAAGACGCTTTGTCCCGGAGGCCTAACATGCAGATCTCTCACACCTGGTAATACGGGTACCACTTGACTGTCTAAATATTGAGGAGACATTGCACCAGGAATCATTCACGGCACCCATCATTGAGGCTTTGAAACGTGACACCAAGTCTAAACCAGGATACTCCCTGATCCAGCAGAAACTATACTACAACAGTAGGTTAGTCATTCCGAGAAGCTCGGCCATCCGTGCAACACTATTTAAGGAAGCACACATGACACCACCAGGGGGGCATTGTGGGTTCCTAAAGACTTAAAAATTGTCTAATACAGTTTTTTGGTCCCAAATGTAAGCTGATGTTAAAACTTTCATTCAACAATGTTTTGTTTGCCAAAAATGCAAATATGACACGCTTTCTCCTGCCGGGCTGTTACAACCTTTACCCATACCTCAGCAAATTTGGGAAAGACATCTTGACTGATTTTGTGGTGGGATTACCAAAATCAGGACACTATGATTCTATCTTTGTGGTTTTCGATCAGCTCAGCAACTACTGTCATTTAATTGGGATAGCTCATCCCTGCACTACAAAAAGTGTGGCAGACAGGTTCTGTGAAGAAATTGTAAAATTGCATGGCTTGCCAATATCAATTGTTTCAAATCGTGATCCTTCATTTTTAAGTGCATTTTGACAGGAACTATTCAAATTGAGCCAGACTCGTTTGCGGATGAGCACATCTTATCACCCACAAATAGATGGTCACACAAAGGTGGTCAACCATTGTCTCGAAGATTATTTAAGGTGTTTTTCCTATGAAGAACCCAAGCTATGGAGTAAGTACTTATGTTGGGCTGAATATTCTTTCAACACTAGTTATCATGTTTCCACCGGCACAACATCTTTTAAGGCAGTTTATGGGCGAGATCCGCCACCACTTCATCCATTTGTCCTCGGTGAAACTCGAGTTGAAAAAGTTGGCACAACAATTACTCATGAGGGATGCGATTCTCAAACTACTTCATGATAACTTACTTAAAGCACAGAACCGCATGAAAGCATATGCTGACCAACATCGTCAGTAGTTACACTTCAATGTTGGTGAGTCATTTTTTCTAAGAATTCAACCCTTTAGGTAGTGTTCCTTAACCAATCAGAAGTATATGAAACTTTCTCCATGTCTTTGGAACTTACAAAATCTTGCGAAAGATTGGAGAGGTTGCATATGAGTTTAAATTACCTCCATCCCCTAGAATTCATCCTGTCTCTCATGTGTTACTACGACCAGCTCATGGGCAGTCACCCACCACTCCAGCAAAACTACCCATTTCACCTGACATGGAGCTGCAGTTAGAGCCTAAAAATGTTCTGGACAAGCGCTGGAATGCTGACACAGTAGATGTGTTAATATAATGGAAAGGCAACCACCAGAAGAAGCTAGTTTGAAAGAGTACGCTTTGGTGGCATCACAATTTCCATATTTTCAACTTGTGGACAAGTCTGCTCTCCACGTAGGGAGTAATGATATGACTCTGAATAAATAAGACTAAACCATTGCTCACTTATCAGAAGCACAAGAATAAGCATTTGAGTTAGTCATGTTTATTTATTTAATTATGACTTAGTTATATTTATTTATTTACTTATTTAAATCTGAGTCTATCCCTTTTTTATTAGCAATTAAGTCACTCGAATTTGTTAGAGTCAGCTGAAATAATTGTGGGATAATGGGATCCCCCTATAAACCCCACTAAGTGAGTCAGTTTCTCTTTTCAGTTATTTCCCTTTGTATTGCTGCAGTACTTATACCCTTAGCCAGATAATGCTAAAGGGTGTGTGTACGCAGACCTTACCCCTACTCGAAAGTAGTGAGGCTGTTTCCAAAGAGACCCCCGGCTTAGCGTCGATAGTGGCAGTGATTGACTAACTGCTCTTCATTATTTAAAGAAGCGAAGACAGTTTAGAGATCTTCTTTTGCTTTATTCCATCACCCAAAGCCAGAAGATAGTGAATTTTTGGCACCACCAGAGATGATGGAGTAAAAGGGGGAGAAACATTAAAATTTATTTTTCCATAAGTTCTCTTGGGCTTGTTATTCTTAGTCTCTATTAGTTTAGATTCTTGATTTAAAGTGATTTAGAAGATTTGTTCTTGTTTTTTTTGTTTCCAGCTTTTGGCATCTACCATTTTGCGGCTTAGTCTTATTCAGAGTCATATCAGGAAACTTCTTCCTCTAAGTTACCCAAAAGAGATGAATGGAATCTTAGATCAAACCATAAAGCCTATCTCTAATACCGTGTCACAATTAAGACTATAATTTCAAATTTTTTATTGAATCATTAAATTATCATTCGTACACTTCCACCATGTATACACGTAAAAAGGACATAGATGGACTTGGCCCATAGCCTAAACAAAACCTAGAATGTTACATAGCAATGTACATTATCAATATTCATATAATTTCTAACCTCATGCCAGCATAATGACGTGACCGCCGTGCAATAAGTGCCAGTTTGAAGTATCGCCCATCTATTGAAATGGTAGACTGGAGACAATGCATAAATATATTTGTAAGTTTGTGAAGGAAATTTAAGACATTATCCAGTGCAGAGTTATTTGTCACTCTCACTCTAATAACAAGGGATGGAACAGAAGTGAAGACTATCAACTCACGTTATTAGTGCCTAACGTTTTAAGTGATATCATAACAGCAAAACATGTTCTTTTAGTAACTACACAAGGTTACATTTTAAAAAGAACAACGCTCTCACAGAATTTCTAGCCATCCTAGAGATTCTTAACAATTCCTAGATGCTAGTGAAATAAAAGAGTGATCTTGAACAAGGCAATGCGGCTCATATACCTGCATGAAAAATCCATAGACCAATGCCACTGTCCAGAAAGTATTATGGATGATATTTCGTATTCCACGGGTCAAATATTCATTCCATACAAACATGGTATCATAAGGGACTTGCCCTATCTCATTGCCACACATGTTCTTTTGTAGACTCCTCATTATATGGTATGAATAGCTGAAGAAGAAGTCCTTTGTAAGGTCAACCATACGCATGAGCTTTTTATATCTGCACAATATCCAAATAAGGAAATGAGAATGAATCACTACTGATTACTTAATTCTGTTCATCCACTGCAAGCAAATAATTTGTACGAATAAAATATGCAAACAGATTATAAATAAAATAACAAACACTTCAATTAGACTATAACAAGGGACGACAATATAACAACACAAGGAAAGCACAACCTGCGTTCACTTTTATAATTAGCCATCTTTGACTGAACAGAAGAACTTGGAAGTGCGATTATCTCACTCTTTGAGATTGCATATATGGTATGACCACAGATGTCACCAATCTGCCTCCTCTTTGTAATAAGCAACATGTAGTAAGGCCCCAGAAACTTTACAAAACCTGCATATGTGAGAGCAAACAACAATTGACATCAGATGGAAGAGTCCTGCAGGGAAGAAACAAGGATCGCATAATCTTCATACCAATGATTCCATAACATGTGGTGACAAGCTTCAATCCTCCCGTTGATCTGTTTCCTTCATGTATTCTCCTCAACAAATCGGAGCACTCAATTGCTGTGTAAGTGGTTGAATCTTCACGAATGATAAGTTCAGAAGGCTCCATCCTGTCAATTTTCAAAACTCTCCAGTATGTTCTGCTCTTATTCCTCCCTATCAGGTAAAATTTCTGCAGGGAAGATTATTTTAAATGAAGCCCTGTGTGAAAAAACATATAAAAGAATACGATTTTTCAAGCCGGAGCAGATATTGCTAGGGTTTGTGCAGGAAACAATGAATACACACACACATACACATACAAAGCATTATAAATACGCTCTTGTGTGCCAATGATAGGATACACGTCTCCTTCATGTCTCAACTGGGTAGTTAAAATGTTCAGGAAAAACCAAGAATAGCAACTTAATTGCATTTCATGGCTAGCTAGGACATCTAGGAGTTTATAAGCATATTATCATCATTCAAACATTTGAATGGTGTTATTGTCTTGTTACCAGCATTCTGGTAGTTTAATTGTCTTGTTACAGTGCTACCAACAATCAGGTGTTCAGAAAACATTCTTAGCTAATTACAAGTGCATTCGCACTATGTTTTTCATCCTGTAATCAGTGTTGCAACATTCAGATAGGTGGTAATTATAGTTACACTATCAGTCCCACAACACATAAACAAGTCAAAATCATGTCACACGTGAAAACATCAAACGAGTCAAAATCATTATGGAGGTTGAAAACTAACAAAAACGTTGCAATTTGCAATTAAATTATTAAAAAAAGAAAAGAAAGCAAAGAAAGAATTGGGATGGTCAACTCATAGGTCATTGAAGATATGAAGATCTCTAAAAGATCAGTTTGATTGAGTTCAATAACAGATTATGTTCCTATAATGATTGACAAAGAAACATGGAAAATGAGGCAAGGAATATATGGACTTGCCAAACTATGGAGTATCAAAAAGCTCTAGATGAGCTAAGCCAAACGATGGGATTAACAGCTAAAGAAGATATATAAATCTCATGACAGCTTTACAACTCCATGTCATCCATGAAAAACACTCTATTTTTTGCCTATTGCACCCGAAGAGAACAAAGATGAACAATCGTTACCGAGCTGGTTTCATATAGTCGAAATTTATGCATAATAACCCCCTCAGGAGGTGATGACTGCTCCTGCAGCTGCACATCCAGAAGATGGGTTTGCTCCTTCCCTGATGCAGCCATTGGCAGTTGACCCGATCACTCGAACTTGGTCAATGTATCCCGAGCAGGCGGCCGTGCTCGGGAATCAAATTATTCAGGCATTCAAAGCTTCAAAATGTCCAATCCACCTACCAACCAGTACATCCAAGGAAAGGCACACGCATCCTCTCCGTTGCTTCACATATAAGGAGTGGCACCTTTTCCGTCATCTCAAATCAAACCGCCATTGAAGCACTTTGAACCCTAATTCCTCCACCATCGAGTATATAGAAACGAATTGAAAATCCAGAAACACCCTTCTTATCTCCGATGAATCAAATATGGAACGACAAACCTGAAGATTGGATGCTTGTAAGGAATATATGTATATTGATTCGATGAGATTAGATGCCAAAGATCACAAACGGAGGCAAGATGTGAACAGGAAGTGAATGGAAGGATCGAAATAGAACAAAAAAAAACTAAAATGAGGCAAGTTTTAAAAGGGAAGAAGAAAACAAAAAGAGCCGATATATTCAGGGCGACAGAGCTAGAACTCTAATTTTCTTGACCATCATTCTCATCATTATTTTACTCCCTATCATTTATATAGCCGAAATAAATAATGAGTTGTAATTAATAGGAGTCACATTACTCAAAACCATTAATAGGGACTAGTTTTTGAAAACGTGCATGTGACTACTTCCATCAACTCTAAAGTTCTACGTCCCAAACGGCCAACAGATGAGATTCCACGTTCAGGGAGACGTCAACGCAATCGATACCAGGGTGAGATGGATTTCAGGGCAAGGAGATGATTTTAGTTTAATATTTTTTTTTAGTTTGTTTCAGGGAAGGTATTGTAATTCTTGTTTACTTCAGATGTTGAGAATGTAATTTTGTGTTGATGTTTTAATATATTTATGTTTTCAATATTGCGTTCTTTTTCTTGTTGAACATCTCTTTATTAAATTTTTATAAGTTGATTTTTTTAAAACAAATTATATATTGAATCATAAAAAAATATTTCTTTTTATTATAAAAAATAGTTTATGAAATGGCACAATTTTTTTTAAACGTAAGTGTGTATATTTTATGCAATGAAAAAATCATGAAAGCCATTTTTTAAAAATTTTTTAAACAAAAACGGCTTTTACAAAGCCAATTTATTTATATATTTTTTTTTTACAAAAAACGGCTTTTACAAAGCCAATTTTCAGAAATTTTTTTTTTTGTAAAAAACGGTTTTAGTAAAGCCGATTTTCTCTCTGGGGAATTGCCTGCACCAAAACTTCCCTCTGCGGGAATATATTCTCCATCAACCCCTTTTAAGATTTCTGTTGTAAAAATAAAATTAATTATTAGTAGAAAGATAAATTTTTTTGTGTTTTTATTTTTCACATTTGTTTTATAGATCTTCATATATAAATATTATGAATGGATTGGAGTTTTTGATAAAAATTAAAAATCTTCATATCGGTGTGAAAGATCTATATTTTACATGTGGGTATTGGAATTATGAAAGTTGTACTCTAAAAGAAATTGGGAAGAGTTGAAAAATTAGAAGAAGTAAAAAAAACTTTAAAAAGTTGGAAAAAATTGGTTGAAAAAAGTGTTGAAAGTATCGATTTTATTTTATACATTTCATACTTTATTTAATAATTTATAAACTAATTTTTCAAATTTTTATCTCTTCTTATTTTATTTTATGCTATTATATTTTATCTCAAATTGTATTCATAATTTTTGTGTGGCTTACACTCTTATTTATATTTTAAAATCAACATTAATCATATAAATTTTCATTTTTCAATTGTATGTCATTAATTCATGAACAAAAATAAGGAGACAAATCATTTAATATAATATTTGAGAGTTGATAGTTTAAAATGTTGACATGTGGCATTTTAAGTGCTTTAATTTGATTACACGTGTTAGATGACAAGCGTCCACTCCTTAGCAGTCCGGATTCTTCCCCTCTCTAGCAATCTTCGTGATCTATGAAACCCTAATCGCCTTATATGGGGATTTCTCAATCCGGCACCAAATTGAGTAATTTATGGGTCCTTGGAGATCGTGGAGACGGCAGGAACACACTGGGAGGGTGCGCGACCAGAATATTGCCGGATATGGCCGGAAAATTCAGCGACCCGAGAGTGAACAGCGGATCGGGTTGGAACTTCGATCTGGCGTTTCCGACCTCCAAATGCAGCGATTCAGGTGGCGCTGAACTCGCAAGGACGTCAGGAACCTTCGGGGATAGGTTTGGAGGCTTGCCGCTGCGTGTGGTGGCCGGGCTGGAGTGCGCGACCTGTGCGACGGCGGCTGCTTCCTCCTGGCAGTTTCTGCCAGCAACGGGGCTGATGTTTGGGTGGGATGGGATCGTCTTGAGGCCAGGAGGGTGATGGTGGGTGTCCGGCAGCTCACCACCGGCCATGGTGGCCGGAAATTGGAGATCACCGTGGGAGGCGAAGTCGCGTAGAGAGAGAGAGAGCCCTTGCAAGGAAAGTCCCTATGATTCTTCGCTGATTCTTTGCGGAATCTTTGTGTGGATTCTGAAATCTACACCGTCAAACTGTGAAGTTGATGCCTGCCACACTGACACAGTTATTTGTTCAAAACCTGAAGAAGCAAAAACATCCCTGTTACACGTAAAATATTTTTCCTTTTCAGTGGGATTCTTTATATCTAAGTGTAGAAGAAAAACCAATGAAGCTTTGCAAAAAGTTATTTCCTGTACTCATCATGGCATTACGTGAGGTTAAAAGTAGACTGACATACATGGCGACCCATTTCGATCGGTGAGAGAAAGATCCTTTCTTTTCTGCAGCCGAAGAGGTCCATGAATCTGCAGACAGGTAGAATTACAATCATTTCGTGTTTCATATGTTTTGTAATTTGTTCTTTTATTGGTTTCTTTTCTTTTCTCAGGCTCTGTTAATAATTGATCAATTTATATACTGATAGAAATGTAAAGATGGGTGTTTTTGTTGATTTTCCGGATCTTATTCAAAATGAAGAAACATATTATATCTGTTGCGGAAGAAAACAACCTGCTAAGAAAGAGATTCAAAGGAAGAAAATTTGTTGCAGAAGAAAACAACCTACTAAGAAAGAGTTTTTGTGATCCTTCCTATTTTCTATGATTCAGAGTCGTATCCTTCCAATTGAAGCAAAACAATTGTCTCCGTTTATTGGAATCTCTGATCAGCTTTCAATTGGTAATCTTTACTTAATTTAGTTTTCTCAAATTGTTAGGATTTATATTTGGCAAATCTTGGGCATTCGGAAAAAGAGTCTAGCAAATCATGAACAGATTCATTTCATGTTTATTTTTTTATATTCCTAAGTTCATGTTAACCTATGCCAAATATGCATTTTCCCAAATTTATATGAATTTTGTCCCCTAAATTAGCATGCAATTCCATAATTTGGAGGATTCATATGTTTCCAAGATTGATAACTGTTTATTTAAATCGTTAATTTATGAATATTCTTATTGGAACACATATTCTTCATTTTATGCTATCATATAATACCCTTCACAAGTATGCATATACGTGTTCTAATAATTCTGTGAAATGAATAATTTTTACTTCTTATATTCTTTTACTGTTCTTTGTGAAAGTTGTGGGATCAGTTTATATGCCTTCTAGAGGAATTTTGAGGCTTACACTAAATGAGCCTTCAACTTCAGGTCGGGTTCGGGTTCGGTCACCTTAGGTTCGGGTTACTTCGGGTTGGGATAAGTTCGGGCTCGGGTTGATAACTACATGTTCATGACCCAGTGTCATCGGGTTCGGGTTGACCCAACGGGTTATGAGTTTCATTTTTTTTTTTAATTTTAAGTAATTTTTATGACTTAGTGTCAATATTACGAATAAAAAAAATTAAATATGTAGAAATTTTTAAAAAATGTAAGATAATTATGCGACATCATTAAAATTTGTTATGATGGTATAAATCTATACACAAAAAATGAGTAGTAAGCAAAGAAATATAATTATAATCTTATTTTCATAACACTATATTTCATATTAAAATGTATGATTCTGAAAAAATCTTAGATTAGTGGGTCGGTCAGGTCGGGTTCGGTCAGGTTTGACCCATTTTTAGCCGGTCATTTCGGGTTCGGTCAGCAAAACCTTTGTTCAAAACCCAGTATTTTCGGGTCGGGTCTCGGGTCAAAAACAGGTCGGGTCATTTTTTGCCAGGTCTAACTACTCTTAAACGTTGCAGACACTCCCTTTGCTCCATATTAGAAGGAACCTTTTATATACTTTGTAGGCGGAGCTATTGATGAAAATGATCTGATTTTAGCAAGTATTCAAGTTATTTTTTTAATATGTTTGAAGAAGTTGATAGATTTGCCTTTTTAATATTGTTAACAGAAGCCCCTCATGCATCGTAGCGAGCGAGTAATGTGATAAAGCTTTTACTAGGTTGTAATGATGATTGGGCTATAACTTTGATATAGCAAATAAGCAGTGGATCTGTCCATTGCACATCATATGGACTTCATGGGGGTACTGTTGTTTTATCTTATTTCTTAAGAACACTGATGACATTTTAAAGATTACAACCACAAAAGTTGAAGATGTTGAGGTGCTTTTTTATGATATAGATAGATATCGTTTTTACCCATTCGGGTGGGTGCTTTCATAGGGTTAGAAACTTTTTCGTTAGAGTAAACTTTTTATTTATTATTGCAGGCTTTTTTCCCTGCCATGCTTCAATATATGACAAACAACGACGGGTGGTATTACAATTCATATAGTCATTGCAAAAGGTCAAAGTTGTACTGAGGTCAATTGTACATTTTCCATTCAGGCCTCAAGGTTATGACAGGTTTGATTCCATTTTCGTACTAGATGCAGGGCAGTTATGTTTTATGCTTTTTTATGGTTTTTATTTTATCATATCCTTTACATGTTTGTCATGAAATGTACATATTCCGTCCAGGAGTTGGTGTTAAATATGAAATTGGTTGTTCAATGTTCATTCATTTTTAAAAGAGGGGCTAAGAAGATAATAGAGCAGTTTGTTGTTATCGTGCATGTTTCCTCTTATATATATAGACACACACACACACATATACATACATACATACATACATACATGTGTGTGTGTGTAAAGTAGAATTAGTAGAGTGTTTTGGCTGGTGTGTTTCCATGTGCCAAGAACTTCATGATTTCACATACTTACAAAATAAAATCTCGCCAAACAGAATCCACTATTATGAGATCTTACCAATTGCTCCCTGTTAGACTTCATTATCTGTGTTATGTGCTTTGGTATTTATTTAATGGAACTCACAACTCACAAGTTTGTATTGATATTTGATACTTTGATATTGTTGTTGACTTTTGTTGATGTTTTTTTTGCAAAAATGTGTAATGGACAACTGATAAATGGATAACAGAATCTGAAAAGGTAGTAATGTGTAATTTTATGATAATTTACTATGCCTAAATTAGTTTTGGAGTCTGCTATATGGTATTAGCAACCGTTTGTGTTTTGCTAAAATCAAGGACCCTTGCCACTAGACTCATCAAGTTGCTGTCTAAGGTGATTCCTAAGGAGTAAACTAGGTTCCAAAAACAAAAAACGCATGAAGGAATAGATTCTATTGTTTTACCGAGTATCAGACAATTTATTGTTTTACCTAGCTAGCTAATGCGAGGAGAATGATATAATTCTTGCTTTGATTTACAAGAGATGATGACAATGAATAAGATGAGGATCCACAATAGAAAGTATGTGAACCATGTCTTTGTGTATCATTTCTTTTGTGGTTGAGTTTTGTTTCTTAAAAATTGAAGTTACAAGTATAATGTTTTGTGTTTTATGTTCAAGCCAAAGGAGAATTCAAAGAAAATGAAATCTGAGCCCATTGTTTTTCCCTTAAAGAAAGCAAAGGCAGTTGCAGGTAACAAGCCACGTTTGTAATTAATGTTTCTCTCTCATGATTTGCAGCTCTATTATTATTATTATTATTATTATTATTATTATTATTATTATTATTGCAACTGTTAGTTTTTCTCTTTCCAGTATTTTTTTTTATTATTATCCTTTAACATGCCAATTTTTTCTCACATTTGCAGTTCCTAAAAAAGCAACTTCTCAAGCTGTGTAACCCAAAAAGTCTCAACCTCCAATGAAGAATTTAAACAAGAGCCAAATGTTAATACCACACTCTTGCTTAAATTTTATCGTTTATAGGGCACGGTGAGTGCAGTGTTGAAAACCCTGTCTATAGTTGTGATATATTTTTGTCTCAAAATAGTATTATTGCATTGTGATAATTTATCACTTCCTATAGGCATTCATTTTAAGTTTTGGTATTATATATTGACCCTCCCTTTTCCCTTTAGAATATGAAGGTTTTGTTTCAGTTATTTTCCTATATTTTACTCATCTATTAATTCTCCCTTTCCCGAGTCATTGGAGCCCTAATATTATTTTTTTGTATTAATGTTTTTTACATTAATACAAGGGAAGAATCATTGAATTTTATTTTCTAAATTAATTTTTTTAATTATAGAGTCATAGTATTGCCAATTCAAGATATTATTTTTTAGTAATGCGGAAGAGAAGAACCAATTTTTGTAATGTATGCAGAAAGAGGCGCAATCATTTTTCCCGCTAATCTTACATAATGTGGGGGGAGATTAGTCATGTTTTCTTAATTGTAAAATTATAAGATTAGTAATTCAAAGTTTTTAAAATTAATTTACGGGAAAGAGTCATAAGATCACTACTATTTTTAATCTATAATTATATATTATTAAATTCATACGAGGAGAAGAATTATAAATTTGTAGAAATGCAGTAAACACAAAGCATTTCTATCTTCCGTTCAAATGATATCTTCATAAAAAAATTCAATTTATTTTAATAATCCACATTACAGAATGGCAAAAAATATGCATTTAATTTTTTTTGAGGTGTTCACTTTTGAATTAATATATAAACATTTTTATTACCAAATATTAAATGTTAAATTTTTTATTTTACTATCATTTTAATGTCAATAGTGATAAATAACAGATTACATATATTTTCCTAAACCTATTTAAAAATATTACATTAAAGATAATTCACAAAACCGACAAAAAATTTATTCAACCCGTGCGTGGCACGGGTCGAAATACTAGTAAAGTAATACTTTTTTATTAATTTTAGTTGAAAGACAAACGAACCAATTCATTCCAGCAAAAACTTTCAGTATCTAATTTTCGTATGTCTCAAGAATATTTAAGTAATTTTTTTACTTTTTAAATTTTTTGTAATAGTCAAATGAGAATTTTTATGTACCGAAGGTAGTATTTATTATACGTCTCACACATGTAGATTTAAAAATTAAATAAAATTAGTCTCACACAATTATATCTTCACATATTATATTAATGTATGAACATTTTTTTACATATGCTTAGAATGTGCACATTATGAAAAATCGTGTATCAACATTAAAGAGTTATTAAATGCTTAATAAAAGAAATGAGAGTGTACAATTACTTTTGTCAAAATTTTAAAACATGATTTAGGATGCATTTCGTTTGCCAGATCTCATCTAAGCTAATATAATTTTTTGAAGATATAATCTGATCTGATCTGATTGTAGTTATAATTAAAGTTTTTTTGTTCTGATATCGTCTAATTTGATTATAATAAGAATAAGTAATAAGTAGAAAAAAATTGAACATAACGCAGTCTTATAGTCAAAGTTTTAAAATATCCACTAGAACACATTTAAAAAACATAATTAAAAAAAATATCAAAATCACAAAGACAATTATAAATTAATTAATTTAAGATAATTAATCTACAGTCTTTATAAGGGTAACTAAAATTTATCTTAAGAACATAATTTTTTTAAATAAAGTGTGACACTAAATCAATTTCTTAGTTTATTGAGATGATGCTGATATATAATAATAATAATAATAATAATAATAATAATAATAATAATAATAATAATAATAATAATAATAATAATAATAATAATAATAATAATAATAATAATAATAATAATAATAATAAAATATGAAAATATACATAAATAATTTTGTTGAGTCATTATCTAGAAGAAATTAGAAGGAGTTAGAAAAAATAGAAATAGTTGGAAGAAATTGTAAAGAGTTAGAAAAACTCGAAGAAGTTGAAGAAAACTATAAGAAATTGGAATAAATTGAAATGATTGAGATAAAGTTAAAAGAAGTTGGAAGAAACTGAAAAGAGATGATAAATGTTAACGGTTAAGAGTTAACAATCAAATGAACAGAACCTAAATTAATAAATTGGAGAATGTTTACCTTACAATCGGGTATACCTAAAGCATCGGAAAAATTTTCATTTTGAAACAACATAGTTTTTATTCTTACATATTTGTTCATTACAATTATAATGTTCAATTATGAACAATATAATGTAATTCTGAAACAATGTAGTGTTATTACAAGCCTGCTCAGCATAGTGTTCTTTCTAAAACAATGTAGAGTTCGTTCCCCATCGTTGTCGTTGGTAGTTTTGCTTAGAAGAAATCACCCTAAATAGGAATAAAACATAGAGAATGTACCAAAATAGGAGTTCCATGTTTTTATTCCGTAA